GTAGTCTATGCCAATAATTACCCATCAGTAGATTGCTTCTTTGAAATAACATGATCAGATTGGCTGGCCTTGGATACTAATTCCCCCGGCAGAGTTCCTCATTCAGAGAATTGAATATACGTGACAGGTTTTACAACATTGAGATTGCCTATAACAGCACTGACATTGATTCAACAGTGATCTCATACTTCTTGTACCTTCAACTGAAATATTAAAAATGATTGGCTGAAGGGGAATAAGAAGTTTACAAAAATGGCCCAGGACTGATTTGCACACCTAGGATTCCACCCTATTTCAAAAGCAATTGTTTCACTACAAATTGCACCAAAGTTGGGAACTATTTAAGTGGTAAAAATCATTGCCTTGAAATGCCATTCCTCTGTTATCCTATACTGGTAAGGAACATTTGGCCTTTCACTTCATATCTGTAAATGAGTTTTACTGCTTGCAAAATTACTACTGTATTTGCCTATAAAGCCAATCACAACACTTGACAGTTGTGACTTGTTCTAAGGTGTTTCGACATGATAAGGTGCTTTAAAAATGCAATTTTTTTTCTGACATAGGGGTCTGAACGCAATCACCCATTGGTTCTGTGGATGAAATATAAACCTTTTAACATGGCAGTCTCACTACTAAACACTTGATGAGGAATGCTCCTGTTACTTCAGTTCTATATTCCTCAGCAATCCCCCAACTTGGCAAATGGGAAACTTGAATAGTGAGTTTCCCCAGGTTACTTTTGCCAGCTGACATGGCTCACTGATAACTGTCCTCTCTGTCCTCAAAAGCCAGTCAAATGTGAAGAGCAGCTTCTCATGTCTGTTATCTCTTCAGCCAATTAGAATTGATTTCTCAGGGCAAGAGTACGGTAAAGATCAGATCAGCAAAGATCACTATTCAAGGTTTGAAGCCAGAATCTCTGTGCTCTTAGCTGTAAAGCTTAAAAATTAAGATCATCAAACATTTTTGAAAATTATTAACTTCACTTTTAATTTGGAAGCCATGAGAGAGAAGGGTACATATGAGGGAAAATGAAATAGAGGTGGATGGGAGGGGTGTACTGAGGGGATTAGGATGGAAGGAGGTTCCTGTGGTGTATACACAGTCGCACAGACTCGCTGAACCTAATTCAATGCTGTACAGTCAATGCCATTCTATCTATTTTTTAATGGATTTGGACAGCAATCTTGCTACAGAATTTAAGAATTTTCCAAAATTCTGCACAATAGCTAAAGCCATAATAAATTTCTGGCCTCCGATAGTAAACTCTTGGCATAATAAGAATATTAATTGTAATTGTTGGCAATTGTAATTGTTTCTCTCTTCACTCTCTCTCTCTCCACCCCCAATCTTTCCCTGGCAAAGGCTCTGCTCATTGTTGGTACATTCCAACCTGTTAATGAGAGGTTTAATCAAGTTAAGAAATTAACTTAATTAAAAAAGAGTAACTGATTTTCACTTGCAAATCCAAAGGTAAAAGTGCAGAGTCAGCTTATGAGGACGATACCAAGTTACTGCTATCAGGATAGATTGGATTGATTGGATCTTTTTTCACTAGAGAAGAGACATAATAGAAGGGGGACAGAATAGAAGTGTCTAAAATTATAAAAGGATTCAATAAGATTAACATAAATAGGCTGTTTCCACTGGTTGCAGAGTCTATAACCAGGGGATAGAGATATTATAATAATAATACTTGCATTTAATATAGCACCATATCACGTTGTTGAGATATCTCAAAGCACTTCACAGAATATATTGTAAAGTGTAGTGATTGTGTATATAAGATAGCAATTAGGGGTTCAAAAAAGAGAATTTAGGAGGAACTACTTCACACAGAGGGTAGTGAGATTGTGGAACTGGTTGCCTGAAGTGGTGGTTGAATCAAATAGTAAAGATGCATTCAAGAGGAAGCCAGACCTTCACATGAGGGGAATGGAACTGTATGGGAGGGAGTAAAGGAATGGGCGGAGATTCCTGCATGGACTTGGCATGGACTAGTTGGGCCCAGTGGCTTGTTTCTGTGCTGCAAATTTACCTTCTTTGTAAATGTTTTAAATCAGTGACTGGGATGTGGAGCCCCATGGCAATCCTAAACCAGAAGGTTAACGTCTGTCAGTGTTTTTCCTGAGCGAGGGATTGTTCCAGCACTGCAAGTCCTGGGGCCTCTCATGTTAACATAATCGCTGTCCTGTTTTAAACCTTTCACCATATCCACCGCTCCTTATCCTACATTGTCTGGTTATGAAGCCAGTGTTATCTGATACAGGGAATGTGGAAAATCATTATTTGTCTACTTATAGAGGTAATTGCAAATCAAACGAAGAGCGAGGTCAGTCAAGAATAGGACAAAAAACATACCAGTGAAAACATTCACATCATAGCTTAATAAATGATGGCTTGTGAACAACTACCTCCAGATGACTTCTCTCTGAATTACATTAAAGTAAACATTTCTGTTCTCAGGAAAATACACACACAGATTACATATTCTCCTCCCTTTGTGATTTAGAGCAAACCGGACACTGTACAATATTAATCAGACTGAATTACGTATGGCTGTAACTTTCTGACCCATGGGCATATGCTAAGATTTTTTTTCTCTCGCAAATGCCATATGCCGTACAGAGGCTTCTTTATATAAGAAATGTCAAGCTTTGCTAACGGGATCAAAGGTGGAAAGTAACTTAGTAGGTAACAATTGTAATTTAACTTTTGAGGGATGCCTGCCTTATCGCATTTAAAATGAATCGTTTATTTTTCTGGCGGAATCTGCTATTTTAATTCCTGCTCCTCTCCCTCTCCCTCTCTCTCCCCCTCTCTCTCTCTCTGAATGGCTTACAGTTGCATTGTTTCTCTTGTACTTTTAATTTTTAATTTGCGTGATCTAGAAAACAGGGAAACAAACCTCTCTTCGGCTATCTATAATAATAATAATATTAATAATAATATTAATCTACGGGGGTCTCAACAATTTTTTGGGGGGCGGGGTTTGGGGTGGGGGACAAGCGAATAATTCAATCTATTTAAGGATAAGACTGTAAAACTAACTACAATTGTTATCACCGCACATTACAATACAGAGGATCACCGCCTCAGCCTCAGGAGAATGAATCCTGGACAGGACTTCTTAAATGTCGCCCTTAGTGTGTACTGTACTGCAGGACAGAGGGACAGAGGGACAGACCTGCAAGTGGATTTCAAATAAAATGGCAAAAAGTAGAACCACAATAGACCCACTGTAAACGATATGCAAGAAAAGGGATAAAACGAGACTCGAAATGGAGTTTTTTTTGAAAAAAAAATTTCCGGTCCATTTTATCCCTTCTCCTGCAAGAGAAACTAGACAACCCCCGAGAATCAGCCACTTCAGTGGAAGGACAGAGGCTTCGGGTAAAGCAGTCTGCAAGCCCAGTGTCTCACTCCAAACACTTGTGCTCTGGTTTCCCGAAAGATTTGGTGTTTCAGGTGCACTCTCGACTACTGCGATTTTGCCTGAAAGAATTAGGAATTGTGCTTCCCTTTTGTCACTGTTACAGGAACAGCTGAAGGGGGATTGCACACTCCACGCTGCTCCATCTAATATTGCAAAAAGTCCAATAACTTAAGAAGTCCCATTATGTCTGTCTGTAAACACTGGTGTGTTTGGGTTCAATACTGCGTGGGAGCAATGCATCTTCAGAGAAAAGAAACGAGACTTTGTTTAAACATTTTACTAACCCCCCCCCCCCCCCCCCCCCCGGGTAATGAACAGCACTGGTTTTTAAATAGAAATCCGCGTTTAAATAGATAAACGCTGTCCAAAAAATAATCAAGAGCTCTTCTTGGGGGGGGGGGGGACTCCCGAAACGTGGGAAACATCCAGTTTATCTCGCCCTTAAGTAAATTTTGCTCAGTGTTAAAATAGCTGTCCATCTGAACGCTATCAGAAACATGTCCTTTTATCGCTCATTTACTTACGTCTAATTCACCCACACAGGATTCACAGTCAGTTTACGATTTGCAATATATTGTATGAATCGATTTGAGACATCTCAACGGCGAGATATATCAAATCCAGTGATTATTATTAATTGTTGTACTTTATTATACATATATATATACTGTACTTATTGTTCTCTTCAACGCGCTTCTATTCTTGGTCAGTTTAACACGATTGCTGATCCTGGACTATTTCTCAGAGGGGTGGTGGGGGGTTCTCTGCTTATTTATGTTTTGTTACCAATTTGTTCGACTTGCTATTTTCATACCACCGAGAGATCAGGATGTGAGCCATTGCGATTCTCTTAAGACATATCTGGTGCTTGTGCCCTGTCTCTCTCTTTCGGTCTGGTCTGTTGTACTGAACAATTATTTTGCAACCTCCAGCTCAGGCCCGGACTCAGCTAATTCCTCGTGGATTGGTTTTAGTGACACCCCAATTCTACTCTGTGCTGCTGTTCACCAACAGTCCTTTGATTTCCTGCTGTATCGCCACCGCTGTGATCTGAACTTGGCTTCATGTTATTCAGCAAAATCTCCACAAACATGCCCGTGCCGTTTCAAATGCAGTTCCCAAAATTATCCCTTCCCTCCCCCCCCCCCCCCCCCCCCCCCCCGGGTCGCTTCCTTCCATGCACTTTGCAATCTTATATGTCTCTCTCCACGTCGCAAACGTATCAACAATTAATTTATCTGTTATTTTGTGCTCGAATTGGATACGTAACTTTTAAAAAATGTTCCGTTCGGTTATTCTTCCGTGTGTTAAGGTTGTGAGTATTTAAATGTCTCTCCTTTTTTTCCTTTTTAGTGTATATTTTGGTGTATATATATATATACGTGCTCTTTCTAATGCTGGAAGGATTCTTTCAAATATTATCCGATGCAACAAAGCTTCGCTTTGTCGCACTCCCACAGCACTGCACTTGTAAGTTAGTCAGTGCAAGTCTAAAGGTTAATTACTCGGATTTAATCATGTTCACAACAGTGCGAAAATGAAAGTAAAACGTGTAAAATACCTTTTTCGGAGCTTTGCTTCTTGGAAATGTGACATTGCATCAGTTTTTTTTTCCTTATCTCTTGTAAATCTGCTCAAATCTGGGTTCATAAGGGACCACTGCTTATTCTTGCACAAACCCATAACAAATCAAAGTCAGGCTTCCGTGGGGGGAAAGGTTTCCAGTTCAAGTTCACAACCTCCTTTCCTTTTAAAAAAAAACCCAATTAGCACTTTATTCAGGTCGTTCTGCGGGCTTTCTGGGCACTCGCCTCCTGTATTTTGAGTTTTGGTTCACTGATCTTCCAGGAACTAATGAATACCAATGCAATTTGTCAACCTACTTCTGGCCAAAAGAATGAGCAATGCCTATATTTTCTAAAAAAAAATTACCTGCAAAAAAAAAGCACCCCCCCCCAAAAAAAAAACACACACCACAGTGTGTCTGTCCACTTGCATTATTAACTGGTGCTCGTTGCACGAAAAACAATTACATTGCAGCCGCAAACGTGTTGCCTGTGGAAACATCGACTCGATTTATCTCAAGAGAGTCTTGGAGCAAAGTTGTGGGCGAGAAGGCATATCCAAATAGATTTGTTTATGTACAAATGAAATAGCCAAGCTGCCATCTGGACTTTTAGGCAACAATTGTCCAGTAATTCCCGCTGCTGATCTCTATCGACTAGAGCAAAAATATATCTTTTTTTTTATTATGATTTGAAAAAAAAACCACACACAACACACACACAACACACACACACAAGTCAAATATATTAAACGGAAGAGTATGCATAGTGCATAGTAATCGATGCGTTACTGTACCTGCTCGGGCCGTTCCGGATCCCCCCTTTTTTTTCCCCCCTCTGCATCCGACCCCGCAGAGCCGTGTTAGCAAATTTCAAATCATTTTTTTTTGCCATAGCCCAAACAGACACGCAACATGTTTAAGCCGATTGGAGCGCAGGAGGCGGGTGGAAACGTCTTGCAACTGAGATGCAATTGGACAACCAACCCGTGGGAGGTGAGGGGGGGGGGAATACAGTTTAAAGTAACTTATTGATGGAGGCGTTGCTGTGTGTCCCCCCCCCCCTCCTCCCCCAGTTAATTACCTGCTTTGATGCAGGTCGCCCCGCGCTCTCCTCCTCCCCCCAGTCTGCCTGTCCGCAGACCGACTGCAGCGCTGCACCGCGTCTCCGTTGACCCGAGCAGAGCGAATCGAAAGAGAGAGTGGTGGTGGTGGGGGGGTGGGGGGTGAAGGAAAGAAAAAAACCCTCCCACACAATAACCCCCCCACCCCACCCCCACTCCATCCCCCCCCACCCCCCCCCACTCCATCCCCCCACCCCCCATCCCCCCCACCCCCCCCCCCCCCCCCACCCCCTCTCCAAAAAAAAAAGGAGCCACTCACTATGCTGAGTATGGGAGATCAGAAGCAGCCGAAAATGGTTCCCAAAACCACCTCCTTCACCATCAAGAGCCTCCTGCTCCCCGAAGCCGACAGCCAGGGGGCCAGGGTCGGGCTGCAGAGCGTCAGGAACTGCGCCCCCGAGCTCGGGAGCAGCAGCAGCAGCAGCAACAGCAGCAAAGCCGAGCAAAGCGGCGGCGGCGGCGGCGGCGGCGGCAAAGCCGAGTTCAAATCGCAGTCGGACCCGGAGCGGGCGGAGGGCGGCTCCGGGAGCCGAGAGGAGAGCCCCGAGGAGGAGGAGGAGGAGGAGGAGACCCGCAAGAGGGAGGACAAGAGGCAGAGCAAGTACGACAAGCCGCCCTTCAGCTACAACGCGCTGATCATGATGGCAATCCGGCAGAGCCCCGAGAAGAGACTGACCCTGAACGGCATCTACGAGTTCATCATGAAGAACTTCCCCTATTACCGGGAGAACAAGCAGGGCTGGCAGAACTCCATCAGGCACAACCTCAGCCTCAACAAATGCTTCGTCAAGGTGCCCCGACATTACGACGACCCGGGCAAAGGCAACTACTGGATGCTGGACCCCTCCAGCGACGACGTGTTCATCGGCGGGACCACAGGGAAACTCCGCAGGAGGTCAGCCACCTCCAGGGGCAAGCTGGCCTTCAAGAGAGGCCTCCGGCTGTCCCCCTCGGGGCTGGGGTTGATGGATCGGGGCAACCCTCTGTATTGGCCGCTTTCTCCCTTCCTGTCCCTGCACCCCCCTCACGGCAGTCTGGGCTACAGCAGCGCCGCCTCCAGCTTTCTGAACCAGGCTCCGACCTACAGCTCTCTGCTCTCCGGCTGCGGATCCGGTGTCGATCAAATGGCCAACGGGGACCTCTCTCACTCTCTATTAAGGGGATCCGTACAGTGCAGTTTGACCAACAGCTACTCGGTGAGCCCCTGTTCTGTCAGTTTGCTGGCCGGTCAGACGGGCTACTTTTTCCCGTCTCTGCATCACGCTCAGTCGGTCCATCAAACCGGATCGGGGATGGGGAACCCCGGGGGCGCCTCCAGCTCCAGCTCCAGCTCCCCTCCAGCTGCCTCGGCTCTCATCGCCGACGCCCTCAGACCGACCCTCTCCACTTTCCCGTCCGGACTGGCCGCTGGCTTCAGCAGTTACCTGTCACAGCAAAACGGAGCAACTTCCAGCAACTCGTTCCTGCACTGACCTGGGCCTCGGATTGCGACAGTCAGTTTTTGGGGTGGCACAAAAAATAAACCAAGCTATGCAAACTACAGCTGCACCTTAACTCAAGGAAGCCTGTGCGAACATACTTTGCTAGATTATATCTGGTGTTGGTTGGAATTTGATTCCCCATGTGCTCCGGGGTAGGGGGGGGGGGGGGGTAGGGGTTGGGGGGGGGGAAGGAAAAAATATATATTTAAAAAAACGGAAAAAAAGATCTCGACGTTGTAGTTTTTATCGTATAATAACAAGAAAATAATGTTCATTTCGAAAGAGGAGTTGTGATGTTTTAAGGACAAAGCGCACACTTGATTTTGCAAGGTTTTGCAATCAGAAAAACGAAACAAAACCTATAATTCCTGCCTTCTTTTTTTATATATACATCAACCGGAAAGGGAAGAGAATCAATGCAACCAATTTGAAAAAAAAAGGGAAATAATATTTGTTACCTTTAGGTTGAAAGTCGGCCATCTCTCTATCCAAAGGTAACATTGATGCATAATCCAAAACACGAGCAAAACGCTTTGGAGTACTTTTTGGAGTGTTTAACACTATTTATTATTTATAAACGTGCATATATGTATTTATAATTTAATAAGTTACCAAAATGTCTTCAGGCATTGTAGGTTATTTAATTTTCTTGCGGTAATTAATTGTTTTGGAGCTAGTTACGATGTGGTGGTATTTTCTTTCGTGTTCATTCTCTGAAATAGTTACACCGTATGTTTATTACTCCTTTTTTAAAAAAAAGAAAAGAAAAAAAGCGCCTTAATAAACACAGTCGAACAGGGTTTCTGAAAAAAAACATGGACTGCTGTGAACCATTTTCTTTCCCCTTTTCAGTTGTGACTTTTCCCAGTTAATTTGGAAAGGCCCAAACCTTGTTTGCATCGCTCAGGATTTTTGTTTCGAGGATTATTTAAACAGAGATAGTTTATTATCAATAATAATAATAATAATTATTATTATTATTATAATGCCCCACATCTTGACAGCATTCGTGTTGCAATTGCCCTGCCTGTGTGCCCTGCACATGGATTGCTCCCAGCAGTTTGGGATTGGAGGGAGATTTCCAAAACAAAATTAAAAAAAACATTTTTGCAAAGAGAGGGAAAGAGCGAGAGAGAGAGAGAGAGAGAGAGAGAGAGAGAAAGAGAGAGAGAGAGAGAAAGAGAGACGTGGGGTTTGGAGAGGAATAAGGCTGTCGTGTCTCTTTATTTCGAAACGACAGGGATCTGTTGCCAGAGTGCGGGAATTATTCTTGCTCTTTAAAATGTCACATTGGCTGAGTTATGGGGTGGTTTGCCCTGAAGTGTGGCAGTGCGGGCAATACAGTGTGTGTGTGTGTGTTGGGGGGGGAGAGGAGGAGGAGGGGGTGTTGTGGGTGAGTATGGATCTGCCAGACTGGAATGGCGGAGCCTCTGCTCAGGTCTCTCCTCACCAAGAATTGCTCAGACCATCACGTATCGGCATCTCCACACACACTGGTGTTGAACTGAATCACATCTTTTTTTTGGGGGTGGGGGGTTTGAGCCATTTGGATCGCGTTTTGCACCGAATACTGCTGTCCCCTTCTTCGTTAAAGCCTGCCTCTGTTGTTGTTGTTGTTATTGTTGTTGTTATTATCATCATCATCATCTTTTTTAAAAAATGAACCGTGAAACATGGTTGCAGACAGTCGCCAGACAGTCACTGTGTGATCGCGCGGAGGCCCTTTTTGGAGACTGAATTTGGTGGGAGTTTGGGAAGAGGACATCAATAAAATCCCCTCTCCCCCCCCCCCCCCCCCCCCCCGCAATATCCCATACTCCAACCAACATCCCTGACATGTGAGGGTGTGATGCCTGGGATTCCCAGTTTGGTTTGGATGCTCTTAAACCCGGTGATGGGTTCCCACGCGGACCAGAGAGCACAGACAGCAATCAATACAACCCCAAAGTCAGGGCCAGGCTGCCCACGCCGGGGGCTGCTCGGGCTCACGGGGCATTTGGATTTTTTTTGCATTTTTTTCTTCTCTCTCTTGCATTTTAGCCCGTTTTACGTTTATAGAAAAACACACACACACACACACACCCGCTGAAGGGAAAACCAAGCCCCTCGTGCACGCGTCGCGCTCCCGCTGCCTCGCAAGGCACGGGGAGCCGGTGCGGTGCGGTGCGGTGCGGTGCGGTGCGGTGCAGGCAGTGAGCGGGCAGCGGGACCAGGCAGTGCGGTGCTCACAGGCAACTGAAGGGAAGCGGTCATGACAGAGCGAGACTCGCAACGCTTGAGCTCAGACGCCGGCGGCATTGCCCACTGCAGACTCTCCAGCTTCCCGAGCAGTGAGATCTGCAAAGACTAGAGCGAAGCGTCTATATATAATATATATGCATTGCCGGTTAATGGTCATATTCTGAAAAGCTCGTGTATAATTTGTGTGTGTGTGTCCGAACGAGAGAAAGCAGCTCTACACCTTTCACCCTTCCGCCCGCCTTCCCTCCAATGAACTATTATTTATGGATGTATTTATTTTCGCATTTATTCGTATAATCTTTCCTCTTAGGATGACCGCACTGAGGATACGTGTTTGCGTGTCAGAGGCGCTCAGCACTCACATCCATCCGTGTGCTTTGTTTTCGGCAGTTTCTGTGCGTTAAAACCCTCTGTTTCTCGGGGTTTCTTCCTTCAAAGGAACCAAATAACCATCTCTCACCCTCGTTCTGTCTGTCCTGCACCGACTGACACACGTTCAATGCAATCGTACATGTCTCTCACACCGCAGTGTCCCGTCACAAGTGTTTAGGGATCGCATTTCTTTGTGTTTCCACAATTTGATTTGAAAAAAAATACAGCTTTACATAATCTCTCCGTTTTGTTTTCTTTTCCTTTTGTTTCAAAAAAAATTGCATAAAAAGTTCCCATTGTTTCTGAATACCAAACAGCACTGGGAACTGCGCGATGCGTAAGAAAGCAGACAGACACTTGGTGTTAGACCAACCGTACTGTTCAATCCAGGCCTTCTCCTTCCCCGGGGTTGCACGCATTGTATTTACATTTTAACATAAACACATGAATAAAACCAAACCGGTGATGCGAATGACACAGTGCGTTAGTGCGGATCCATTGGCTTTCAAACGTGCAGAGATAAGTCTGGTTGAGCACGAGTTACAGTCGTTGTTTAATGAGCAGCTTGTGCAGTAACAGCCGAATGAACACTGTCTGTTATTGTGTCAGTCAGAAAGCGGTGGGTACAGCACTTATTTGCGATTACTTTGCAAATTCGTGTGATGCCCCCTCCCTCTCCCCTGCTCCCTGTTGTCGCAGGCAGCAGGTACATGATTATTCGTGTCGTCTATAACATTCGTGTGTGTTTCTTCCTTAAGGCCACGCTGTGAATCCGGCTCATGGCATTTGTACTATTGTGACTAAAATCCAATAAAAGTTTTAATCTTTACTTTTATTTTTAAAAAAGGCGGTTAAGGACATGAGTTTCGGCGTGTACTTTCACTCTCTGCCTTGGCTCTCTCCGTGTGCTGCATTGCTCGCTTGCAATCTTAAATGGATGGTTTCTAATAACATTGGGAGTTGCGATAAATGAACCGTTTGTAAGACCTTCTCAGATTGAACATTATAATCAGCCTTTACCTCACTTTGAAAACGTGCAGATGTAGATTCGCTGTAGATAAGCATTCCAGGCAATGGTCTGAAGGCAAAAAAGGGAGCTTTTTTTTGGGTCGTCTGGATGTTTAATATTGATAGAAGTTAAACTATTAACCATTTGAAAATCGATTTATATTTAACAGCTTCAAAACACATTCACTTAAGGAGTTATGAGCCTTGGCTCATGTGCAACGCAAGCATTGACCATTTGCTGTTACATGTTCAGACAGTACAGCTAGGGAAATGTATCATTTATATTTGCTATATTCTGTGAATAAAATGAACGCGTTTATTTTTAAAACTTTCTTTTAAAAATTATTTGATGCTTGTAAACAGCAAATTTCGCCCACAAAATATACAGTCAATCAACTTCACGGTGTATTCTGTGAAGCGCGTTGAGACGTCTTGAAGACATGATAAGGCGCTATATCAAATGCAAGGATTATTATTATTGTTACTACTACTGCATTTAGAGACAGTATTGGGGAAGGGGAGGTTGTCTCCTATGCTTATAAGAGCTGCCTGGAAGCACATTGCAAAAGGATCAAAATATTCGTGAAAACGTCTGCATTTTCTGTGGCTCAGCTTCCCCCACTAAGGTTGAGCAAACATATTGCAGGGCTTAGTTTGTAATCAATCACACACGCCAAACTCGCTTCACAGTGTTGTCTCTGAAATGTTTATGATAACAATCCTCTGTTCACTGAATTTCACTTCACACTGTACCTAATTGGTGAGGTGTTGTGAGAGAGAAACAGAGAGAGAGAGAGAGAGAGCTGAGACTGGGAGAATCCTCTGTTGGGAATCCTCTGATCCCCTGTGCAAAAGGTCAGTCAGTTCAATGAACGAGAGAAATTTTAAGATGTTTCCCTAACACTTGACAGGTCGAGGTATAAATCCTAACGAAAGATAAATCTAAGACCGGTACCTTTGGGTAACGAGAAATCAGCGCATGATGCCATTTGTCGCAAAACAGTTTGACAACCCAATTGCTGCAGATATTTTTATACTATGTCCCGTTTTACACTCGCTACGTCGTAGCAAAAAAAAACCCCGACCTCTCTGCAAAAACAAGAATGATAATCCTTGCCTTTGATGCAATGCCTCATCATTAATGCCTTCATTAATTTGACAGCTTGTTGTTGTTTATCTTATATTTTTACAAGTTTCCACGTGGCCGGTTCGAGCGAACACCCTCTTCCCTACAAGACAAAATTAACTTAAGGGGGGGGGGGGGGGGGTATTTTCGGCGTTTTAAAATTTACAATGTTTAACCATCTTTATTGCAGATTTTGTTTGCCCCGATTACTAATCTGAGGAGCTCACAGCCGAATTAAGTAGCTCAATAATTTGTAAATGAATGGGGAAA